GAAACACTGACGATGTGAAACGATTACGTAGTTACCAAAGTTAGTGCTTCGGCCTCTGAATTCTGGCTGTTCATCAGTAAATCAATTGCATTCAGAAATATTGTGCAATGTCGCCTTTTTGATCCGGAGGGAATATAATATAATATTATTGATCGGTAGCAGTAATCTGTGATGTAAATTAACTTCTTCAGTAGGTGCCTTAATTCAAGCGGACGATTGATGTAATATAATCTATCTAATATGAAATAAACTCGAAAATTCTGAATTTTATAATATTTATAATATAATGACGTATTACCTAAATTGTACTGGAAATGTACCATTTTCACGGTACTTTTAACACCACAGCATATTAAACAAAAGAAATATCTCAAACAAAATTTAAATTGCGGGTGCATATGTTAAATTTGTATTAAGTATAACACTGACCAAACAACATTACATTAGGTAATTATTATTATAATTATAAAATTATAGAAGTGAAACTTTTTTACGCAAGCTTGACTTCGGGGGTAAGCTGGCGAATGCGTTACGCGTTGCGAAAAGTGTGTTCGGGCGCGGCGAACGGGAGTTGAGTGGGGGATTATCTTATAGCTAGTAAATGAAATATCTATATGAACATACATGTATATATTGTACACACACACACACATACAGATGGAGCTAAAGAAGTTTCACTTCAGTCGTGTGGTCATAAGCACACTCGTTTTTTATTAACTATACATTCCCCTGTCTTATCTATCATGTTTAAATTACATGTTCACTTCAATGGAACAATGCAATCGGTAACAAAGGTACCTGTGAAAGGAACGTAGCGATACTTATGATAATTAAACTTTAATATGAGGAGTTTATAAGTGTATCTTACTACCGGTTTATTTACAGTTATTAATGCAACTGTTGTTTAATGAGGGGTATTTAAACACGAATGTGGGTTTATAGCATCACATGAGTGACTTAATACCTAATTATAAACAGTTGCATACAAGAGTTTATCTACACCCATGATATTAATGGTCTACAAAAAATTCTGACTCTATGGGGCGTTCTAAGAACTCAAAATTTATGAAAAGTTTCGGCGCTGTGGTATTCAAAGGCGCGTGACTGTGAATATTGTTGTTTTTTTTAATTCATAGAGATACCACGCAACGAGCAGTAAAAAAATGTGGCTGTCTGATTAAAAAACCCTTGGCACGGAAGGGATCGAAAATCGAAGGGGTGTTATTATGATATTAAGTACAACATTATATTCATCCATCTGTGTGATATCGGGAATTTAAATGTTTTAATGTTGGAAATAAGCTCACTCTTTTAGATTGATTATAGAGATTTTTTAAGAATGAAGTGATGAAAATATTATCAGGGACGCCAGTAACGGTAGGAGATCGCTTAGACATTTTTGGGTAGATATTTGAGGCATGATGATTTTTTTTATATTTTTTTTTCAGATAGCGAAGGGTGCGGATTTGATTAACGTCTGGTCCGCGTGGAATTCATTTCTAGTAAAATTTTCTTTACATATAAGCGTTTTTCTCCAAAGATTCAATCTGGCAGGTGTTTTTTTTTTTTTTTTTTTTTTTTATTTTTTCTTTATTTGGGAAACAAACAATGAATTAATACTTGTACCTAGATCTAATTAACAAACATACATCAATAAAGTTTCCACTATAATACAAAACATATAAAGGAGTTCAAGTTAAAATTGAGAAAGAAAAAAGACGTTAATGTTTTTACCAATAAAAAAAAAAAAAATAACAAGTCTGGTTGGTTACAATTAATGATTAAGAACCATATCGTGGATATATTTTTTACAATTTTTGAGTGAACAGTTAAATATGTCGATTGATGTGAACCTATAGTTATAATCAGTACAAGACCTTATCACGAAAGTATTAGTAGTATATTTGGTGCTAATTATAGGTAAACTAAATAAACTTTTTGAACGGGAGCCTGCCCGAGGGCATCTTAAACCAATGCTATTCAAAAGGAATGGAGAGTCAATGAGATTGTTCATAATTTTATAAAGAAAGACTTGATCTCTCTCAACACGACGATCCGTTAAGGAAGAAACAATTATCACAGGTTGGTTACATAGATGTGCTCTGTAATTTAAATATTTCGAAAATTTATGATTGATTCTCTCTATTGAATTTATATGAACCTTATACTGTGGGTTCCATACAGTGGACGCATATTCTAAAATAGAACGGACAAAGGAGTTAAACAATAGCATTAATGTAGAAAAGTGCTTGAAGTCTTTTCCTATTCTAATTATAAACCCAAGCATACGCAACGCCCTAGTTGTAATATCATTAATATGCGTCTCAAACGTCAGTTTGCTATCTAGGGTCACACCCAAATCCTTGATTACTGTTACTCTGTTTATCCTTTTACCATTGAGATTGTAATTTAATTTTATTGCTTTAATTTTACGAGTAAAGGTGATAACACTACATTTATTCGGATTAAGATGGAGGCAATTATTATGACAGTAATTGCAAAGACTGTCAAGATCACTCTGGAGTAAAGCAGCATCCTTGGGAGATGTGACTTTTCTAAAGATCTTCATATCATCAGCATAAATTAAGATATTAGAATATTTAAGAACTGAAACTACATTATTAATGAACAAATTAAAAAAGAGAGGACCGAGATGGGATCCCTGCGGCACACCCGATGTGACCGGGACAAAAGTTGAACAGTGCCCCTTTACAGTAACTGCCTGACTACGGTCTCTGAGGTAAGATTCTATCCACCGTAAAAGGTCACCATGTATACCAGCCTCACTAATCCTCTGCATTAAAATAGGGTGCTGAATTTTGTCGAAGGCCTTGGAGTAGTCAGTATACACCACATCCACCTGACTACCCTTATCCATATCCATGGTGACTCGATGCACAAACTCGCATAAATTGGTTTCGGTGGATCTCTTATTTATAAAACCATGTTGTTCATTCACAATTACATGCCGTAAAAATGGAAAAACTGAGTCATACACAATTTTTTCAAATAGCTTAGGTATGACACTAATTTTAGAAATAGGCCTGTAATTTTGAATATTGTGTTTATCGCCAGTTTTAAATACAGGGACAACATGGCACTGCTTCCAAATCAAAGGCATTTTTCCGGTTTCCAAAGAAAGCTTAAACAAAAGGTACAACGGCAGTGCCAAAGCTTTATGGCACATTTTTAAGAAAAATGGAGGAATACCATCTGGGCCACAACCTTTCACAATGTTAAGGCTCTTGAGATGTTTCTGAATTAATGATACAGTAATATCAACAGATCCTATGGAAATGACACCTAAATTAGTCGTCCCAGTCAATTGTGAGGAAATATCCAAACGAGGTTCAAAGGCGGAACAAAAGTAATCATTAAACATAGAGCAAATCTGCTCCCCATTGCTTGAAAACTGATCATTAAAAAACAAAGTGTCAGGCATATCAGAAGTAGCTTTTTTTGACTTAACAAAAGACCAAAAGTGTTTACTATTTCTTTTTATCATACTTTCAGCATTACTTACATATTTGTCATAACATTCGTTTTGAACTCGTTTTTGTCGTTCACGCAGAAAACTAAAAGTATCATAGTCACATTGTCTACGATAAATTTTCCATTTTTTGTGAAACTTCAACTTCTCTTTTATAACCTTTATAAGGGTCGCAGAAAACCAGGGAGGATACCGATGACCACATCTAATTATCTTGCTTGGAACATGCCTAGAAATAACAGTGTTCAGCTCACCATAAAACCGTTCAACAGCCGTATCAATATCACTAATAAAGAATTTTGTCGATCAACAGGTAGGAAAAATTTCATTTAACATTGATTCTGTCAAAAGCACATGCAGTGAGGCTTCTGTTTAATTTAATGCCTCATTAGGCTACGTTTAATACGTCGTACTTCATTGCCACTCTAAAGAAAGTTGCATAAAAATTACAAAACTAATAGAGACCACGCATTTTCAATTAACGCTCACACTTTATTTACATACTCAGTTTAAAGTCGATATGATTTGTAGCTATTTTCAGGTTTGGCAATTTAAGGTAGAAACCATGGTACCAAAATATACTCAACGTTTCTCGTCGATATTGTATGTTTACGACTGACATCATATTATGTATCTACTAACACTGAAAACTATATTTAATCTCGAACTTTGGAATTGAATTATTTTGTAATTTTTGAAGCAGAACCAAAATTATGAAACTAGTCAAAAAGTCAAAAGTCAAGTTTACTTAAATTAACCACCTTCTGTAACAAACGATTATATAATACTTTGCTTAGGTGTAAACTGGCTCTATATGGGCACTTTTTTCAAAGGCTTTGATGAATTTCAAAAATACATTTTTCTAAATACATATATTTTAGTACTGTTTATAATATGGAATAAAATATGATTAATCCTAAAATTGCCTAGAATTTCTATTCCATTTCAAGGAAAAATCTCTGATATAAAATATCTTCTTTATCTTTGAAAGTAAAATGACTCTTGGAAGGAAGTCATAAATAACCTTTGACTTCGGGAATGATATTTTATTAATGGATTTTAAAAATACATCGACATTTACTATGAAACGTCGTGATAAAGATGTCGTAATATAACAAAGTTATATTATTTTAAACTTTCATGGTTTATTTTAGTTATTAACGGTATTTCTACCATGTACTCACCATGTTTTTTGTGAGTTTCCAATATTTCGGCACCATTGCAAACGCCATGATCGATTATGGAATAACTGATACTCCGTGATCATGGCGCTTGCAGCGAAGGTAGCTATCCCGTTAATAGCTATAAAATGGTACTAAAGTACCTACGTAGCAATAGTAAATCAATTACAAATTATTATCGGTCTCTTTTAATAATAAACATCAAACGGAGGATTACGTTCACGTATTTTGATTATTATCTTTGTAAGTAAGCCAGTGATATGAAAATGTGATAAATAATAAGGGAAAAGGAGCAAGATTATCGAAGAATTGTTTAAAAATATACTTACAGGGGTCAAACCTCGGTCTCTGAGGAACTGGTCTGGCTCTTTTAGGCAAGTGAATCCATATGTAAGAACCAACATGAACATCACGGTGGTCGTTGAGAAGACACCGTAATAGCCGAAGTTCTTCAATACAATGCCGCTAAGGGCAAGTCCTATTGGGAGGCCCGCAGTCATGCAGAAGTTCACCAAACCAACCCTGAATGTTCTGTCCTGCTCCGAAGTGATATCGCTAATATAACTGAAAACACCAAGGAACATCGTAACCCACCCACCGGTGATGGCAGGGAAAACAGTCTCCAGAAAAACTGTCACTTCGACAGGAATTTCATAGAAAAAGTACACGTTTATTATATTGCTGATAGATGTGATAAGTTCTCCTATAACGGGCAGTAATATGATAATCTTTCTCTTGCCAGTTCTGTCACTCCAAGCCCCTAGGAACATTATCATCAGACACGGCAAACCTGTGTGAATTATGGTTTTCCAAATATCAATAGACGCAATCAGTTGTTGGACTTGTTTCTCGTACGAGGAAAAATTTGTGCTTTTTTGTACTACTAGGGCATCACATACCTCGTCACCGAACTGGAGATTAACACGGCATGCTTTATCCAAATTGAGATTACCCATTGCAAACCTCGATATTACACTCGGTATTATGAGACCAGCCAGCAGTGGTTCCACGGTTATGTTCCTCTTTACATGTTCGAATTTCTCGCCCCATGTTTTCTTTGGTGGTTTTTCTGGAATAGTCCTGTTTAGCGGGTTTTCCTCAATACATTTTGCATTATTGTGTTTGTCTTCCATCCATTCGGCGACCTTTTTCTTTTCTTCCATCGATTCATTTTCCTGTTTTTCTTCTGCCATATTGTTTAAAACTTTGAAACGCTACAAGGGTTTGTTATATATTTATTTATATTATTGTTCCCATTGTTTGTTAAGTAGAACTAATCATAAACACGATTGTCACTGTCACAACGTTTGGTATAATGTTATGAATTGCGATAACTGAGACATCACAATTGCCATCAGTATTTACATGTCCAATATAGGTATTTGTTTGATATCAATTAAATGTTGATAACGAGTGAATTATTTGTAGAGAATTATACCTTTTGTCTATGTTTATTGTGCGTACAATGATAATGTGTAAACTGTAATTGATTCTGCAATAAGAACTGTATTCTTCGCTAGTATGATTGGTAACTGGACGTTTGGTTTTTAAGCCAACTTTAAATAAGAGTGCGCGGCCGGATAATAGTGGACTGTGAACAGTAAGATAGTGATCACAGGTTTTATTGCCGGTCGCGTGATATAACTAGGTAGTCGTACTGAGGTAGCGATTTTGTTAGATCTTGATCTTGGTCAATTGGTTCACAGTTCGCATCTCATATACCTATCGGCCTTGGCCTTAAGTACTATGTCATCGAAACATACGTTAATCCTTTTTCACGATATTTTGTATAGTTACTTGAATTTTAACAAACCCGTAGGTTTTTAAATTAAAAAATTCTTTAATGAAATTCTTTCAAAAACTGTTGTTAAGTTTTAGAAACAGAGTACATTCTAACCATCGTATTTATAGGCAAGTCAAAGTATGTATTTATTTATTTTTGCTAAAGTAATTACTTGAGCAACAATTTTTATTCCACAACCAAGACATTTATCAAAGTAATAAAGTCTAAAATGAGATTTTTTATCAAAGTAATAGTCACCATGTTCGTTGCAAAGTTATCATTTTTTTGTGTTTTTATCATTGTAATCTGAAATTATGAATAGGTATCGAGCGACGATTAATTTTTGGAAAATATCTCCAACAACCCAATAAAAGAATTTCTCATAAAACTTCTGTTTAAACGTACATAAGTCAACCTGCACCTAATCATTTGCTTAAATAATGTATGTAACTTGTTTATAAAAGTTAATTTTCTATTGGAGAATTCTAGTCTGAAGTAATGACTTATTTATTAGATATATGGTGGCCGCTTTCCATTAGGTAGGCCATATGCTTGTTTTTTTTTAGCCAGGTGGCCCTACCCCACCTGATGTAAAGTGGTGTTAAAGTCCAAACGCTAATATAGTTGGTACTGCAGTTATACACTGCCACACCAACCATCCTCACCTTGCCGGCCTGCAAAAATGCTTCTTCACGCCTGTCTTAGAGAACCCCAGTTTGTAGAACCCAGAAGGAGGGAATACGTGCACGGACAAAGAATTCCACTTTCAAATAGTACGATAAAGAAATAAGTGACCAAATTTATTTGTTCGTGTAGGAATAGTGGCCACAGTACGGCGCGCGTGGTCCTCTGAAGAAAAGGTGATGGAGGGATAAGGGAGAATAACTCCTCGGAGCACTAGCCGTGCTATAGTCGGTAGAATGCGCTCAATGATGCCACATCGCGGCGTAATTGTTTCCTCCCCTTTTAAAATAAAAAATAATTATAATAATAAACATTGGTCAATGTATATGTTACAGATAAAACTAGTTTTTAGATAGAACGCGTTTTCCCTAGTTAAAACTACTTTTTGCTAAATGCCTTATAAATATATTATAATAACCTGCATTTTTAATATGTAAAACGTTTAACTTTTAGTTGTGTATTACAAATTATTACTTTGATGAGACAGACGTTATTACTACATATTTACGTATAATTATGGTTTCTGCTTTAACATTATAGCGAATTGCCACCACAAATTATGATTGCCGTATTAAGCGTTAAGCTTACCTACATTAACACACGCTATTGTATTTATTTATATAAAAGCCAGTCGTAAAATCCTTTTACTGAAAAGGCTATCATGGAAAACAAAATATGAAGTTTTAATTATCTTTTAATATTATTATAAATAAAACAAAGTCGTGTTAGAACACAAACTCAAGAACATCTGCACAGATTCTTATGAGATCTGATTGTTTGCATTCCTCTCTGCCCCGAATATCAGAATAACTAATAAAATATAGGAAAAACCACGGAATATGTTTTGCAGTTAACTGTTTCAAACGTGCTTCAAACAAAAAAAAAAATGCAATAAGTATATAATATTTCAGCACTTTAAATTATATTATTTATTACTCTACAATTTACATTATCTAGAAATAATAACATTAATATGAAATATGCCTTGAAGGGCGACTCAATCGGCAATGGAAGACTGGACTCGCTCCTTCGAAACGTAAAACCGACAACAAATGTCATCGGTCAGTGTACCATTGCCTTGTGAAACTTCAAGTAATGACAGTAACAGCTGTCATCACTTGGGAGTGATCTATGCTAAGGGTAGCATTTAAGGGGCTATGCTTCATTGGAAGGTGAATGCCGCATCATCCTCCTCTCGAGGGTTGATCGCTTCAGATGAAGCTTGTAAGGCCCTTCTGGCCATAAGCATGATTAACGGGTGTTTTTTAGTCAGTAACAGTCTGACATAACCCTACAACCGGCTGTAGGGTATCCATGAGGATTTCTCACCCGCTCCCCCGCCTGGGAGGAAACAAAAAAAAAATTGGAAGGGGCATTCAGACGTGAGCCACGATTGTGAACGGACGTTAGCACAGAACTTTTCACGCTTCACATAGCAATCCGTTTGTACCTTGGCAATCATAACTGATTTTGTAAAGTGATTAGAAGATTCAAATTAAACGTTAGCTTGGTCACTAGACTACAGTTTTATTTTCGGGAAATATCATTGAATTCCCAAGATGGCGGATCAAGACGAACCACGTGACCAACCGCCTATCCCGCTCGCCCATCCGACAAACAAAATACACTATCAAAACCCATAGAAATACGTAGTAAATTGTAAATTCTGCATGAAATATTAAAAACTATGTATAAGAAAGGCAGAGTATAAGGCATTTATTGTATTAAATAAAACTAGTTTTTTACGGGTATATGCACGAAACTTTATTTATTGACGTTTCGTAGCCTTTACAGGCTACGTCGTCCGTAAAAACTAGTTTTATTTAATGAGTGATGTGTGTGAAAACCTAAGAAACAAATATGTTTTGTATTGTTTGGTATATTCGCATATTAAAAAAAGTACCGGTGTGTAATAATATGTTTGGTCGAATTTTGCCTTTTTAATTGGCGCAAGTTACAACACTCCAATTAGGCACGTTCCTTGTACTTTTTTCCACTTAATGCTGAACTATAGAAACGATAAAGTCACAAATTAAAATACTTTTGGCACAAAACACTGTAAATACAACAGACGTTGACAAACCATGTACACCTGGTCACAAAAGGACACTAAAATGGGGTTCGGCCGCAAAAAGGCATTTAAATGAATGTCGCCGTTGTTAGTTGAGGCAAATATAATGTTGTATAACAATTATATTTGTATAACAGATTGTTCTATAGAATACTATGACATTTCCATAGTATTAAGTACTCGGAAGGGTACGTCGACTTTGGTGTAGTATTTGTTGCCGCATTAGACAAGTATGCCGACGGTATCTAGTCGAGCGACGCGAGACCAATCATTTATTTATGTTTCAACATTACATAAATCTTACTGCGATTGTTTTCCCCTCTTAATTTCCGAGTAAGCCGTAGGGTAGTAGCCGACTTAATAACTAGGGGTTGGCTTTGTTTGCAGAATGTAGAACAAAGATCATGCAACCAATCTTATCGTTTTTTAAATATGCTGAAGTAGGTAGGTATGTACCTTTTAGTTTCTATCCCCTCCCTCAGGTATGGATGCGAATTTTCTTTCTAAATCCTAATTTCAACTGTCCTTTTTTCAGTTATTTCAAAAAACTACTAAGAAGAAGTTTAGCTCGATAATATAATCGTTATATTCTGTGCAATAAGTTGAGGTGTTCCGGTACCTATTATTAAATTTTGGTAGTATTTGTTGTATTAGAGATTTGTAGTCATTAAATGATCGATTACTGTCAATGAAATAAATACTCGCCTCAAATTATCGAATCTATGGAGCTATGTCAAAATCATCAGCCCTTCTGCTGAAGAATTTTTCCTAGCCATTACCGACTATAATCTCTAACAAAATATTCCTGAACATCCTTTTCAATCAGAAGATTTCAGGCGCCTAAGACAGATGTGGATGATTTAAGCTTTCGTTGGTATTCCGCTAACATTTAAAAAAAAATTCATATTTTTTTTAATTATCAAAGACACAAAAATTAAAATTTAAAATATATTGTTCGTTTTTTTATTAAATATATTTATACTAGAAATTTATTGATATAACTATTAAATAAATTTACATATTTTTTTATGTAATATTCTCATATCAATTTTAATTTAATAATACTGTAATTTCAATATTCCTACATGGTATAGTATTGCATATGAAATCATATTTTTTTTTAATTGCTTTATAAAATCTTTTCCTTTATTTATATTTGACATTTGGAGGCAGGTTGATAAAGGTTTAGATGGTCATCGTACTAGTGTACCAAAGTAGTCAACTTGTAAACTACAATAGGTTAAGCCCAATTTACGGTGTTTATGAAACGTGTTCTTCGTAATCCAAAGTTTTAACAAAAAGTGACGTAACCACTGATAGTTGCCTTGTCATGCGTATTATCTGGTATTAACGAATATTGAGTTTTTTGTCATGTTGCATACGTCGTAAACACTGAGACTTCGGATTCGGTAAACTCTTTTTATTAGTTTTATATTGAAAACGTTTTTAAATAAAATAAAAACTTATGACATAGCAACGTTAGAAAATTACCGCTATTGCATTTCCACTATTCTTTATGGATTTCTTTTTATATTGGTTTTTATAAAGTTGCATGGAATTTATTGTACTCGTATCGCGGTCGAATTTTTTTAATATAACTGTCCATTCAAATCTTACAACTTCCCCAAACAAGAGAAGACCTCGAATATTGCAAGATCCAATTTGTGTATTCGGCCTTAGGGCCTCTACCTTTTCACTAGTTGGGCGGCGTAATGCGTTATCAAAATTTGATCGAGTGTATAATGTACTTTGCTTGTTGTTCACAGCTTGTTCTCAGTTAATTACAAGCTTATATCGTCACGGTTGCGTGAACCATGAAATTGTGTAACGTCTGGTTGAAGCGCGTGATTGGGGCAAAATTGACGTGCACTGTTCAATTTTAATTTTCGCGCTTATACCACATATTTTTGTATTATGTCTATGTGTGAAAAAGATATTTTTTGTATCAGTCGGAATATTTATGGTTACTCAAAAATGCTTTTCTGACGAACATTTTAAACACGTTAGCATCTTTAAAAGATTATTGTTGCACTATATTAGCACTGTATTTGATCCATTTAATTATTGAAGGAGCACAAAAAATTACGCTTTCACTGAATCAGAGCGTTCACTACACTGCACAGCACTACAATAAAGACACAATAGGCATGACTGTGAGTGTTTGTGTGCAAGTCGAAGCAATTTGTAAGCAATGAACGTTGGACAAGGCGTTTCCGTCACCACATCTCATTCACGACCATTATCTACTTGAAAAATGTCTCGTAAGAATCGAGATCGGATCACATGTTAAATTTCTAGTCTTACCTACCATAAGGTCGTATACAATCAGAGTGATTAATTATGCAGACCTCGAACTACGGAAATGTTTGATTATCATGATTATAGGTTCCTGGGAAATTTTCTGGCGCTGTTTATTGCTACTTACTTACTAGCATTTAAATTTTGGTACATTTAAATATCTTGAAGCTGTATCGGAAGACTCTTTCAATACTTTGACATTTATGACTCCTTATCATGTAGATCTGAAAATTTTTACGTCTCTAAGAACCTTCTTCTTATTGAAGTTGGTTAAAAATATATTATTATGTATAATATTTTATAAACAAAAATAATTAAAAATAACACTTAAAATAAATTTATTATTTAATTAACATCGTTTTCCTGCACAATATAAACTGAAGCAATGTTTTTTTTTATATATGTGACTCGCCTGATGGAAAACAGCCACCATAGCCTACTCTAGCCGCCTACGATACTAGAAAGTACATCTCACACGTTGCATATAAACTTTCTAGATTATATTGGTTTAAACTTTCATGGTCACTAACACTATAACTATTAACGGGATTGTTACCATGTAACCAATGAAACGCAAAATCAGCCATCGCGGATCATTTAATTGATTCGGGTCCTAATCACTGGTTTGAGCTCCATAATCCACAAATTATCTTGACAGAACGCCACCACATACCAAGATTGGTCAGGGAAGCGATTGAAATAACCAAACACAAGAATTTCAATCGTGAGGATGGGTTTAAATTGTCAAGTGTCTGGAATCCAGTGGTTCGTATGTGTAAAAACCGTAAAAATAAAAAAGTGTCTTTCCGCGATCTGATACTGTGAGTATTGTGTGTCGGGAACAGGTGCGAGTGAATAGTGAGATTGTGACCAGTGGTAGGGGTATCGAGCACAGTAAAAGACGACGTCAGAGGGTAGACCGATATGTCTGCCAATAACATCTACCCGCAATTACTTCAGTTACTCCGTGATCATGGCGCTTGCAACAGTGCAGAAACTCGCCGTGCCAAGACTCATAAAAAACAAGGTACATGGTAACAATCCCGTTAATAGCTATACTTTCTGGTTAAATTCAAATCAATTATCGAATAAATGCTTGGGTTTAGTATGCTTTGGATATTCGATCCGCATCATTGGCGATATTAACCCACTTGTTACGGATATATAGGGACTTTTCTTTGCAGAATCTCTGTGATTTTTTATACACTTACTAATGAAAACATAAATAAAAAAAATCATCTCTTACGGAAAAGCGGGAAAATGGTGTTTGATATACGGAACGCTAGACAATAATTCACGAGTTTCTGATAGTATGTAATTGAAATGTAAGTATTACATTCATTTAAATAATAAGAAGGAACACATTTTTGAAAATATTTATTATTAAGCCAAAATTTCATTCTGAAGCAGTAGGTACCTGTTATATTTTCTTTTTCAGTTGGACCCACAATGTACGTTGAATCCCATCCTGCCTGCTTATTCTATAAAAGCTGTTCCAAGAAAAACACCACGCCTCTCTCCTTCTGAAAGAAGTTTCATTGCTTGCTTTAGACCAGATGGGCGGTGTAGACGGCAAACGCAAGGGCGGGAGCTGGTCCAATGTCACTCGGATCGGCATGTCTCTAGCACTTGACATTTTCCCTATTTAGAAGCCACCACATATTAGATCCGGTGGTGGTATGGGTGCTGATGCAGAGAGCCATAGTAGAGGGGTAATTCTGATGGACCCAGTGATAATTCACATGCTATCCTTGAGCTGGGTATCGACCTTGTTAGTATGGGCACTACGACACCAAACACCAGAATGGTGTGGCAAGCAGTATTCGGCAACGGAGTACACCAGGGAAAGTGCAGATGTCCGCAAAACTGTAGCCCAGCCAGTGCGCTTTTGTGCTAGGCCCTCTAGGTGTTGTTTGAAGGTTAGCAAACGGTCTAGTATGACACCCAGGTATTTTGGCGTGCCCGCCTTTCCCCCCTCTTCTCCTAGGAGAAGACGCGGGGAGACGTGGGCGACCGGGAGGGGGGAGGGGGACGGGAAGAATTACGCTCCCCCCCCGTTCCCCCCTCCCAGAAACGGCGGCCCCACACTTGTAGTTTTGCCCTACAAAGGGGGGGGGGGGGCGGAGGGTCCTTGGACGGGTACGCCCAGGAGTCCCCTCCGCAGTGGATGGGGGGCGGTATGGTGGGCAGTAGGCCGCGTACCCAGATTAATATTTTTAAAGAAAAACAATACAGCGAAAAGAAAAAGAAATATTTTTTTACAGATTAGCGATGCGCGCGCATCAACGCTTTTTTTAGGCAAAGGAACAAAAAACAGCCAGTGTTACTAATAAAGTAAATTAATATTTTTTGGAATTTGTTACCGATACATGGTTGTTATTTATTGTCAAAATGAATCAAATTAAAGAATTAAATGTTTATATATTATATTTTATCTCCCAAAGTTAATTTTATTAAGAAGAAATTGGTTACCTTTCTGAGATAAAAACTCTTTGCTAAGATTTAAAAAAGTATCGTTCGTTTTTAGACATAACATAATAAGCCGTGCGTTTTACTTTACAATACCGCACGCGTGTGTAATGTGATTATGATATGATATTGAAATTGGTGAAATAAGAAACGCTTTGCGAGCAAATGTGTTATAAAAGGTTTTTAGATAGTGACCTTAAACAACAAAATACAACAGTCCATATTACTAGCGTTATTTTTACGCAACACTAAGTTAAATTTACCAGCAGATATTTTTAGAAACTAAAAATATCTGTTGGTAAAATAAACATCTGAACAACAGATATTTTTAGAGTTTGTTATCTGTTTAGAAATAGTATACTACAATCTTGTATATATATTGATGAGAATTACTCAAAAATAAGAATAATTCATGCCTGTACTCACCTTGAAATACTCATCATAAAATTGGTGTAGAAAATAAAACATCATCATCAGCCTATTAATGTCCCCACTGCTGGGGCCCTAAGGATAGCCTATATAATATAGGATAAGCCTTCCCTATGGATGGAATAGGAAAATTGCATTGCATTGCTAACGGCTGCAGATAAATCCGGAACCAACGGCTTTACGTGCCTTCCGAAGCGCGGAGGAACTCGTGATAGAAGATTTTTGGTCACTCATCCAATGACCGACCACTGCGAAAGTTGCTTAACTTCAGCGATCGCAGCCAAACGCGCTTACCAAACGCGGCATAGAATTCCTCAAAAAAATATTAAGCATAGCCAGTTCAAATATCTAACTCAATCAAGCTCCAAGCACAACAGACTAAAAAAGGTATTCCTCAGCTAAAGTGTAACATAAACAATTTAATTCAAAACTATATACATTCTTTTTTTTTTTGTTTGTGTAATGATCCGTATATCAAACGGTAGTAAAAAGTGGGTTAAGGCGGCTGACTACCTCGAGCTTCCCGTGATGCGAGTGATCTGAGCAGTTATTTTCTCTTAGCTCCTGCTCCTGCTCCTCCGTTGACCTGAGTTTGCCACCGACTTAAGGTCACAGCTCATTAGACACAATAGTCACCTTTTTTTTTAGTGTGTATATGCTGTTGGTCACAGATGACTTTTACAGCGCCACCGGGCTTAGGGACGGCGAGATCCTAAGGGGACCTCAAGCCGATAATAGGGATGATGACTATTTTTTTTCTTCGTTTATCAGGTAGATTATCAAAAAGTATTGGACACGTATTATTTCTTTTTTCACATAATATAAACATTGCAGAGATATATTGATTTGAAAAGTCGCATGATGTCACGTTTGAGTACACTTATAAGTGAAAATTCACTCAAAAGTGACGTCACGAGCCCCTACTCCCAAACTTTGACGCGCTATAACTTTGTCATTTTTTGGTTGATTGCCCAAAGAAAAAATACGTGTCCATTATTTTTTGATCATCTAACTAACGGACTAAATAGAATTTCGTTTACTGTACCCCGTTATCACCCCTGGCGGATGGCATCTCCCCACGGGGGGAGTCTCCTCTCCGTCTGGAGCCTCTAGACCACTAGGCACCCGACCAACACCGTCTCAACTCGTGCGTTGATATTCTTTATGTGCAAACGAAACAAATCAGTTTCGTCTGCACCAGTAATGGTGCAAGTAAATGGTCCTTTCGGTATAATGGGAATCCGTTCAGTGGTTTGAGCTGTGTGTTGATAGATCTATCAGTAACGGTTGCCTTTTCAATATAAAGATAAAAAAATAAATTTATCCTCGATAACTCTTTACTTCATGCAATAAATATACGTTATATCGATTAACCTTGCCTTTATAATTTCAATGAATTTAAAGGTTATTGATTTTTTTACAATAAACAATGTATCTTATTAAATATAACATTTAATATAATTTTAAATGTTTAAGATCTATAAAATAATTCAGTTTTTCTGTGTTTAACCATTAGTTCAACGTTTTTCGTCTAATTCAGCCTCCGTCTGTCTCAGCTTCGTTTCCCGTCGATGTTGTGTAAACAGGTAGCTGTAAACGAAACGTTATTTAAAAAAAAAAAAAGTAACGTAAAGTTTTTTAATGTTCCAGGGCGCCACAGGGCAGGGGATTGGGTCAGGGTAGGAAAAAAAATCCAGAATATCCCCGCTGTACAGATTCGGTACAGAGAGGAAACCAAAATGAGCCCGCACCGATCCTATGGGGAAGCCTCTTAGGTAGGAACTCCCGGTCTATCTAACCATCGAACAATTTTCTTTATGAAATTAGAATGATGAAGGGAGCCAAGAAATCTTTTTATTCCAAATGGAACTTCAAACAGCTCTTGAATAGTCAACAAATCTTTTCTTACCACTAGTTCTGGGCTTCTCGTGGCTGAGAAGAACCGGCGAGAAAAAAAATTGTTGGTGCCCGAGCGCTTTCGAGGGGACTAAATTAACACGAGTGCATTCATTACTGACTTTAGTAAGGTGCTTAATCAACTTTTCTTACAGCTATCAATCTACCCACCGTTATAAAATATACATAAAAAAATAAAAACTCAAGTTAATGAAAACAAAATTAAATTCATCGTCTCGTTAAACATTTAAAGCTAACAACTATTAGATGTTCAGCTATTAAATGTGAAATTCGCACTTTTACCTGGGCCATTTACTCTATTTTTTTACACCAAGTCGATTTTATTCAGCAGTTTTTTTATTTTCAACCAGTATCTTTCTGAATTTATGCATACATTTTATAATAAACTTAACGGGAGACATTAAACCGCTATGATAAATTTATAACTAATTAAAAAACAGTGCATTAATGCGTTTTAATATAACATTTCTGCACTGTTTAGTAAAACAAACGTCCTTTGTGATCTGTTTTGTAGTGATTAATAATAACATTACTTCGTAGTTGGAAGAAAATATAAGAAACTACCTATGTCGTGAAATGTCGTTACAGTTTTTTTATATACGTTTCAGTACCGCGTCCTTATAATATAACTTGTAGGTACAATAATGGCAGAAGTTTTCCTAATCTTTCGTTTTCAAGGTTAATAATGACTTGCAAATTCATAATCTAAAATACAGTAAAACTAGACTTAAAAACAGTACTTGTTTTCATTTTGCGATAAATGTACACATAGCAATAAATTTGTTCAGTGGATTTTATGTAATTAAGATTAGATATTTTAGATATAACTAAAAATAGTGTTCCGCAAAGTATAATGAGAACTGCTCTAGGAAAATCATTTAAGTATTTTTAAAGACAGATTGCCTCTCTCACTTTTTTGACGCAACAAGTCAATATAAATACGAGTAGTGTTGCCATATGTCGATAAAATCTCATCAATATGCACATCAAAATTGCTACAATTCAAGAAATCTTGGAGGAAAAAGGAGTCGCGGATGGTCACTGATGTTGTAAAGGAAATCTGAAAATTAAACCTTTTTTATTGTTGTGGGTACTAAATTAGTAAAACAATAAAATAAAAACACGCAAACGTCCACCCGGATCAGATGTCAGAAGCCGAAGAACATGGAGAATTTTCATACAGTAAATTATTCCTTAGTCGTCAAGAAACGAGAGAAGAATATTTTGGAACGAAATATTGATTAATAGCCTCTTCGATAGCACGATTGGGTAGAGGTATAAAATTGATGATTGACCTCTGTGAATGATGTTTATAGTTAGTTAGTTATAGGAACCGGGTATCGTTGGAAAGACAACCGGTTCCTTTTCAAAAACAATTAAAATAAAATAAATATTGAAGGTACAACAGACCTGATTTTTTGGCGTTTTTTGGTTGATATTATTATATCATCATCAGCCTATTAATGTCCCCACTGCTGGGGCACAGGCCTTCCCTATGGATGGAATAGGGGAGGAGGATATTGTCTAATTTTGTTTAGATTATGGTACGGATCCCTTCGTGCGTCCGACTCGCACTTGCCATTAGCGCTCTCCGGACCATATTAGATTGTGAAGTACTTTGTACAGTTTTTGTTAAAAACACTTTCATGTAAAATGTTGCCAAGACGACAATGACTCGCATTGTCAAAAAGTATCATATCTCATCTAGAGACAAGCTTTTAACTATAAGGCTTAACTTCACAAACTCTACACTTTGGCCAAAATATATGGCTAGGCCGTTTTGTTCCTACAAGAACTATTGTATAACAGAAAAGTAATGTACATTTTACACTTTACGACTATTTTGACTAAGGAAAGTTAGTAAAATAAGCTTAGATTAAAACAAAAAGGGAAGACACGGTACCGTCATTCTACACAACTACATTACTAACTCTCACACACGCATACTTCTGTAAATAAACATTCAATCGAGCGAGTGGGGTAGTGCGAGTTTTTTTTTAAATAATAAACTATTTTATAATCTTACGAATGAAAAGTGTTGCCATGAAATTTGTTATGTGATATTTGACTAACTTTTTTCGTACCACAATTTATATGGTACACTTTTGAGTCGCGAGTGCCTTATCTTCCTTTTTTATTTTAATCTAAGGAAGTCAGGCCTTGTATAGTTAGGGCGTGTAGAATAAGAAGCTTTGCTCTACATGAGATCTGATAATTTTTTGAATGTGCGAGTCATGTGATCTCGTCATGGCACCATTTTACATGAAAACGTTTTTGGTGGGATATAAAATTCTTCATTAATTCTAAATGTACTTACATCAACATAGCGATTGGCGGCAACGTCAGGAATGCGCTGTAAATGAAGACAGCTCCGCTGAAGATCTCTAAGGTCTTCGAGTACATGGTCGAGTACGTTGGGTCGAACATAAGCGCTCCCAGGGTTTCTACCAAACTGAATAATGAGTTCATTTTGCCTGAGAACAAGGTAATTGTTTTTTTAACATAACTATTTTGATATTATTTAATGACGTGATTTGTGTGGTTAAAGTACATACAGTTACGTAATGAAATTTTGATTTGAATGTAAAATAATTGTCATTACTGACTTTCTGAATATGGCGTAGCGCACACCATAGGCCCGAGCACGAATTCTTATAGCTCCATAATCGAATTGCATCTCAAAGATTCTATGAAAACTAACTAGCGCCTCTACCGTATGTATGAACAAACTGGCTCCTTCCATAGAAAATTTAACGATGATGATAAGAATACGGAGCTGTCAAATTTCTTCCTTGACCTCAGAAGTGGTGCGGCAAAGCTACTACGCGCAGCGACCACGAGCGCGACCAAGAGTCACGGAGCGGAGTAGCCACGCGCTGACTCTCGTGGCCGCGTCACAGTGCTGTGCGGCTTGCTCTTTCCCACCGTAGCCATGAAATGATTTAGCTATTATTGTCAAAATTCTTCCTTGGCCTCAGGAGTGATGCGGCAAAGATACTACGCGCAGCGACTCCGAGGGCGGCCAAGAGTCACGGAGTGGAGTAGCCACGTGCTGGCTCTCGTGGCCGCGTCACAGTGCTGTGCGGCTTGCTCTTTCCCACCGTAGCCATGAAATGATTTAGCTATTATTGTCAAAATTCTTCCTTGGCCTCAGGAGTGGTGCGGCAAAGATACTACGCGCAGCGACTCCGAGGGCGGCCAAGAGTCACGGAGCGGAGTAGCCACGCGCTGGCTCTCGTGGCCGCGTCACAGTGCTGTGCGGCTTGCTCTTTCCCACCGTAGCCATGAAATGATTTAGCTATTATTGTCAAAATTCTTCCTTGGCCTCAGGAGTGGTGCGGCAAAGATACTACGCGCAGCGACTCCGAGGGCGGCCAAGAGTCACGGAGCAGAGTAGCCACGCGCTGGCTCTCGTGGCCGCGTCACAGTGCTGTGCGGCTTGCTCTTTCCCACCGTAGCCATGAAATGTTTTAGCTATTGGGCTTTAACTTAAATTGATAACTTCTTAGTATCTTCGCCACGCCACTTCTGGTGTACGCTGCGCCTAAGACATCAACATCGTATTAAATCAAATGAACAAGTTTTAACTGTGGATAATGGCTTATATATATTGAAACATTACTAAGTGTGAATTGTACCGGAGAGCCAGTTAGAGTAAAATTTTACTATAACGTACCCGGCCTTGCTTAGAAAGTCTTGTCATTGTCAAATGGTGACCTCATTTTGACTATGGTCAAATGCTGCAACCCATTTTTTACCTAACCGGTGCTTTAACTGAACAATTTAGTTAAAAAAAAATTGATGCTAATCACGCTAAATGTTTAATAATTGCTTCATCATCATCAGCCTATATTATGTCCCCACTGCTGGGGCAAGGCCTTCCCTATGGATAGACTAGTGAGGTCGGGCAGCGACCCACCAAGCGGGCCAAGTGCGGATTGGTAGGTGCAAACGACTGTAGACGCATCCCGGACCAACGGCTTAACGTGCCTTCCAAAGCACTGAGAAGCACGAGATATAAGTTTACGGCTACCCATCTAATGACTGAAAATTGCGGAAGTTGCTTAACTTCCATGATCGCAGGACGAACGCCCTAACCACCTGTGCCATCGAGTTACTCTAATGGCTTAATTTTGAACAAAATGGACGAAATTACAGTAATTTTCATGGATTTTCGGGAAAATAATTGTATACGTAATTATTTCATTGCACATCGTAGGAATAACTTACCTAGTTCTTCGCTAGGAACCAATTTTGATGCCATTGATCTTAGGGATGTGAAGGTTGTTGCATTAAGTATTTCGATTATTGGCACTGTAATTAATAAATACAAAGTATTTTTTAATTTTATTAAAAAAACCACGCTCAGTATAGGGTTCCGTAGTTGCTCGTCGTCACCACAATATATTTTGGAATGTGTCTATATTTTAAGCAATTACTTTGTCTAAGTCACTTTTGATGTTTCTCGTAATTTTTATTACGTCAGAAATTTTTAATCCATAGGTCAAACGACTGTAATTCTTATGGGGTTACACGCAATTGTAAGGCCAAAAAATATTATCGTAATTGAATGTGTGAAAATATAAGTAATACTATTACATACTGTATATCATAATGAGACCACAGGGGTGCTTTATTTGTTAGCTATCGCTAAATATGAATCCTAAGTATTGATATTATAAATGCGAAAGTTTGTGTAGTCCTTTGTTGCTCAATCACACAGAACGGCTTAATGGATTTGGATGAAATTTGGCATATAGTAAGTTTATCATCTAGATTAACTAAAAAAATATTTTTATCTTTGAAAAATGTTAGGTTCCTGTGGGATTCACAAAAAACTAAAATTAACTCGGACGAAGTCGCGGGCGAAAGTAAGTGCGATAATATATTACCCATGTACATTTGTAAATCCGTGTAAACGAAAGCGATGTAAATGGATCCGATGAGTTTACTGACGATTGAGATGAGGCAGAGGACAGTGTCGTGATAGCCCAACATCCTGCTGAAGACACTGATTGAGAACATTGCGCCTGTAATAAATTATTTCTATCAGAATTCAGGAATGGTAGGGAAAAGTTTGAAGATTTCCTAAGAGTTTTATTACCACAGCAATTTAACTGAATGTTAAACGTTTAATACGATCAAATTTCTCAACAATAGTCACTTTACATTTTTATATAATTTACTAACAAGTTTTATATGAAAATCTATGATTGATAATTCGATTGATTTCGATGATTCGATAATATAATTCTTAAGACTTCGCTACTTATTTAGTGACTACTTCTAGTAAACACGCTGTGATTTTATGATAGCTCCAACAACAACAGGTTAATAAAATATAAAAAATAAATAAAATATTAAGCCTACAAAAATCAAAAGACAAAACTGCCCGTAGTCCGAAACGAGAGTTTGTTTTTCTAAAACAAGGAACAAAAAATTTTTGGTTAGAAGGGCCTTAGCCTTAAATGATTGAAAAGGTTGTTTTTCATAATATATTATAAGAAATAATTAGGATTCTTACCAAGAGAATGTGTGATGATACTGTATGTCGAGTACAAGCTATATTTAATAGCATCCCATTTCAAACGATACCTCACAAACATGTACATAACTATTCTCTCACCTGCAATCGATGAAAGTTTTACTTGGCATGAGAAGTTCTACTAACCATTTACAATGTAGGTGTCAAATATAAGTACTTAGTAAATTAGTATTCAAGAGTATTTCATATTGTTTTAAACTTTCATGGTCACTAACATTATACTAATATAAGTTACTTACGAGATTGTTACCATGTGCCTTGTCTTTAGCGCGTTTTCGATATTTCGGCACTGTTGCAAGCGCCATGATCACGGAGTAACTGAAGTAATTCGGGTAGGCTGTTATTGGCAGACATATCGGTCTACCCTCCGACGAAGTCTTTTATTGCGTTCGATTCCCGTACCACTGTTCATATTCTCACTATTCACTCGAAACTGTTCTCGACACACAACACTTACAGTATCAAAGATATTTTTGATTATTTTTACACGCGACTATTTAAACCCGTACTCACGACTGAAATTTTTATGTTTTGTTATTTCAATCGCTTCCTTGACTAATCTTGGTATGTAGTAGCGTTCTGTCGAGATAATCTGTGGGTTATGAAACTCAATCCAGTGGTTAGGACAAGAATCAATCAAATGTTCCGCGATGGCTGATTTCTGCGTATCGTTGTTCTTGATTGCTTTTATGTGTTCCCTCATTCGACATGCTACTGTTCGCTTTGTTTGGCCAATGTACGAACTGCCACAGCTGCAATCGATCTTATAGACACCAGGTTTCTCCAAGGGTCTTGTCTTTAGGAGACCGTAGGTATTGTGAAACCTTTCGTCAAGGAGTGAAGACAGTGTTTAGTGAGTACTTATTTAGTATGTTTGAGATCTTCTCAGTCACTCCTTTGACATAAGGCAAATAAACAGGTTGTCTTTCTACTCTGTGTCTCTGGTGTCTTAGTTTGTATCTAGATGGAAAGTGTCTCTGGTATCCATTACTCTGTAAGACTCGTCGTACATGCTCCAACTCTTCTTGAATATTTCCCTCATCACACAGATCATATGCACGGTTCATCAGTGAAGTCACTACAGAGTTAAGATGTTATGTCATGAGTTATGATAAATGTCTGCCAATAACAGCCCACCCGCAATTACTTCAGTTACTCCGTGATCATGGCGCTTGTAACAGTGCCTAAATATCGGAAACTCGCTAAAAACAAGGCATACATGGTAACAATCCCGTAAATAATTTATATTACTATCAAGAGTGTTTTATTTCTATGACATAAATAAATTTGACGAAAAATAAAATACTATCGTTTCAGCCGAAAGTTACTAATTCTACAGATTGCATTTTGTTTATTCTAAAGAGCTTATAATGATAATAGGCTGGTCAACCATCCGAAGACTGACCTTAGCAAAAGTTGCTTAACCTCGTCCAGTCGCAATTGAACATGCTTACCATGATTTGGTCCGTATATTATGGCAACAATTATTAAGGTCATAATGATTTTCAGTCTCAAGTTCCCTTCTCTTTTCTTCACAGCCACACTAGCTGTCTCTTTCACCATTGTTACTATATCCATGCATGACCCTGATTTTGCCTTAAATCATGATAAAATTTAGTTAATCGTATTGACAGTTTCAATAAGTAAGTTTATTTTTAAATTAAAATTTATTTATTCAGTCTAACCTAATTTATAAACTCTTCTGAAAGTCAAAAATCTATGTCATTGATTTGAAAATCTGTCAAAAATCTGTGCTATTGATTCAGAAATCGAAGGGTCAAACTGCGTAAGAAACTTTAACTTTGTAATGAGCAAAACTTACGTGCAATTCTGAAAGGACTATTAGTTAACAATTAGATGTAATTTTCACTTAAATGCATGATATAAAAAAAAAAAACAAAAACAAAACCAACTTCAGAATTTTTTATTTTAGTTCCATTTCGATTTTGAAGTCGGTTTTATTTTTTTGGCAAAAATTTTTTTTAGTATAAAAACGTTAACAATGCTTATAGTTAGAGTATATAAATTTTTGTGAGATTTCACCAATGTTTTTTATCTTCGTTTATGTTTGTTCTTTGTAATAATTACAGACACTATACAGTAGATATAAAAGGAGTTAAAGTAAGTAAAATTCTGTGTTGGAAAAAAACAAAATATTTATTTTTAAGCATTGAACTGCTATGTTTATAAATCCACAGTGAATAGTATTAACTAGAAAAAAATCAACGCGGTCAATGCATCAGACGGGTTCGAATCTCGTGTGATGCCTGAGCAGTGCTTACTCAGAAGAGCCAACCAAGTCTTACGAGCAGATTCTCAGCTTTAACAGTTTAATGCAGCAATTTACCTTGCGACAAAGAAAATGAAAACGCTCAGTTCATCTGATATAATTAACAGTTGCGCTTAAGAAGATTATAGGAGTTTGGTTGCAACTTATGTTAAACTTTAGTATTAGTTTGAGCATTATTAGTAAGATTGTTTAGAATTTTGCAAGACTAGCTTTTGCTGCTTAAAATGGAGACCTTTATTTTTTTGTTTAAAAGCTTTCTATAATCACAGTTAATCATTTTCTTTCAGATGAGGGTGCAACTTAAAATATTTACTAGTGAAAAAAATGTGTGCGTGTACTAGTGTACACACGTAAGAAGTGAAACTTCTTTATGGCCTTATTTTTCGAAAAATGATCTACATGCAACTTTCCAGAAATTGGTTAAATAAAGTTAAATTAGATAAAGTTTAAACAAAAGGATTTTATTATCATAGACATGAATACAAATTACTGCCTATGAAACTGTTATGATTACACGGCTCAGTAATCTAAGGCACATGTTCCACCTCCGACGATGAACGATAAGCGAGTAGAAACTAGAAACGAATTGGCAGTCCTGAGTTAAAATGCACGCGCACGGCTTTTGACAGCCAAGCCAGCTTAACCGAGCGAGTATAGCTGAGCGAGTATCGCTGGGCGAGTACCGCTGAGCGAGTACCGCTGAGCGAGTATCGCTGAGCGAGTATCGCTGAGCGAGTATCGCTATGCGAGTTTGGCTGAGCGAGTCTTATCTTTAATAACTATTGTCACTCAGCTACAAACGAGTAGAGAGAGTTCTCACCGGCGACAGTGTGATCATTCAGCTATTAATATAAAAAAAGATGGCGCGTAACGGAAAAATGTGATGCGTAACCGAAAAATGTGACGGTAAATTTTTTTCCAACGCCGATAAAGAAGTTTCACTTCAAAAATGCAAGAAAATGTGTGAATTTAATAGTAAAATGTCATGTCATTGCCTTACACAAGTCGCACTTTTTTACATGCTCCAGACATTCATTAAGCTTCTCTCTATGACATCAGTTTTCCAAATGGGTTTAAGGAGAGTTATTTTAACGATTTGTGAATGCTTAAATCATGAGCACAAAGTTGATTTGAGAAGTATTTTTAGACCGTGTCACCAAACAATGTCATGCATTAAAAAAGGAACGATTGCAAAACTACTTACTTTTTCACTGCTATCGTTATGTTTGGTTTTGCTTTCCAAGCAAATACATGAATAAATAAGTGTTATAATATAAACTGTTGCTGAAGCTGCAAATATTCCATAGAAGCCCCACCATTTCAATAAAATCCCACTGAGAGCGGTACCTATAGGTATACCAGCTGTCATGCACAAATTGACTAGACCAACTCTAAAGGTCCTTGTCTCTTCATTAGTAACGTCACTGATATAACTGAATACACCCAAATAAATCATCACCCATCCACCGGATATGGCTTGAAAGAAAGCTTCAAAAAACATAGTAACTTCTACAGAAATCTCGTAGAAGAAGAAAACGCTGACGATGTTGCTAATGCAGACCATAAGCTCACCAATGAGTGGCAGAATGATGCAGATTTTTCTGTTTCCCGATCTGTCGCTCCATGCTCCCATGAATATGACGAGTATGGTTGGAATTGCTGTCTGAACGACGCTCTTCCAGGCTTCTATATTAGATATCACTTTTTGGACATTAGCCTCTTCATCGGAGTAGTTTCCAGTCCTATCTATTAGAGCGTCACAGACCATGTCTCCATAATTCAATTTCACACGACATGCTTTATCCAAATTCAAATTTTGAATAGCTAATCTTGCTAACATGGAAGGAATAATAAGTCCAGCCAAAACGGGCTCCACAGTAATATTCGACTTTATGGCCCATAGTCTCTCAAAAAAAGATTTATCGTCTGACTTAGGTTTCTCCTCTTTTTCTTTTAAAGGCTCCTCTTCTGGTTGTTTCTCTAATGTGGTAGACATACTTGGACACACACTCTATATCAAAACAAGTGCGTAACTGACTGAGACAAACATACAATGAATTCATCCACTCTAATCAATTTCATTTTCTTTATTTATACGGCTTGCTCCAAATAATTATTTGTTACCTACGGGATTTAATAAATACTTAATATAGTTTGTTTTTGTCGTAGAGATACAGTAGAAGAATTTATTCTTGTATAGAATTCAAAACGTCAAAATTCATATTTATGACCTTTAAAATATTACATCGTATAGTTTCAACAGTGCAATGGTAGTATTTATCAAAATATCAATATAAATTAATAATAGAATAGTCTTATGCATGTCGAATGAAAGAGATAATTTATTTCAGCAATATTATCGTTTACAGTTTCTATTACGTCACGATATTATCAAATTAATGTTTAGGATGGGTTGCTTTTGTGTCATTGTATTAATGAAAGCAGATGGTAAATTATATTTTGTAATAAATATCTTCTTCAGCATTAACGATTATTAAGCGCGGTGTAAATAAATATATATTTTTATTAATTTGGTTGTTCCTCAATATAAAAATACTAATAAGCTTGTGCTCATTGGTTTTTAGGGACATCCTGTACCTGTTATCGTAGTCGAATGAATGAATAATGTGTCAACTATTATTTGCTCAAGACGTTTACACAGCCACTTTATGTGCTGTTAACTTTAATTTAATGTTGTGATGTTACAATTATTTGTTCATCACAATTAATTCTTTTATTTGCACTCTGATAGAAATGTAATTAATAAGACAACATAACATCGCAATGAGCTAAATTAAATTGTTTCTAATTTTAAAGCAGTTCTTAGTTTTTCATTTTTTTTATTTAATGGCATTACGAACAGCGTCCTGAGGATGGTAGGGGACCGACTGAACTCCGTGCTGCTGGGCCGGTTCACTGAGCTGCACGTGCTGCGTTCACGTGTTTGGTGAATCCGCCCCGCTGTATGGGGCTCCACGCCAATATTTGTTAAATTTTATTTTTTTATTGTATTGTCATATTGTTACTAACATAGCATTTAAGACAATTATACTAACATATCTATGGACTCTGTCTGAAAATAAACGATTTTTATTTTATTTTATTTATTATTAGAAGCTCGTTGGCGCAGGGTTTGGCGCGTGCGTCATGTAATGCCGCAATTACATTTGGTCATTAGTCCATATTCGGGTGCACGAAAGACATTACTTCAATTCGGGCACTCGAAGGAATATTTACACTGGATGCCCGTATTCCAGTCCAGGAAGACGGTGTCGTGTAAGACAAAGGAAATCGAGGGCGTAATCGACTCCTTTCATTTATAAATACTGGCGTAATCGACTCCTTCCATTTATAGTTAGTCGTTTACTCGAATTCCATTGGCACTCGTATTCGGGTTGATGACCAAGTGTAATCGCGCCGTAAGTTCAACAATTTTGGCGATGGTCAATCATAGGATGAGTGACAAAATAAAATGATCACTTTCTCCTCCGTGCTTCCTAAGACCCAGACTGCATCACAAGTCATTTGCACCCACCAATCCACACTAGTACTATCCCTATTCCATCTTAAGACAAGGCTTGTGGCTTGCAGTGGGGACAATACTGTACCATACCATTACGATCTAAGGGAAAATACTCATTTCACCACACTGGTGTCAATCACCAGTGTATTATTTTTAAGTATTGATACCAAAAGTGAGACAAATTACTTTCTTATAGAACCACGTAGTAAGATTATAGAGAACCTATTTAGATCCAACAATGTGTTAAAACAAAGCCAGCTGTTGCCATTGCATTCACACTCAGCAGTTTTACATGTAAAGTATAAAATTTAAAAAAATATGTTGGTGAACGCATTTCAATATTGGATGATCAGGGATGGTACAAAAAGCATGGTTTAAATCAAATCAATTATTTATTTATTGCATTCCTTCGGCTGCCTTATTTATTTTTACCGGTCGGGATAAATGGATTCTTTATATCCATTTAACCTTACGTCGAAGATGTCACCAGCTAACCTAACTAGCCGCAATTATTTAATCCCATAACCCCATCCAATCCCATAACCCAAAACACTGCCCATGTTTTGGGTTGTATTTTGTTATTGATATAAATTAAGGATATAACATTTACTTGATATTGCTGATGATGTCTCAATCCTTTTCAAATATCCTAAAATCTTAAAATGTCATCCATTAATAGATATGGTAATATTACAAAATGGTCGAACTAATATTTAAATATTTGTAAATTTGTTACTTAAGTGAACTACGATATTAGTTGCTAGATATCAGATAAGTGATAAAACTAAAATAAAGCTTGATTTGTTTTCATGTAAAAAGGATGGCAAAGAAAGATATATTCCGCCTGGACTACCATAGCCTTTATACAGTTGCATATAGTATACATCCCAGGATGGCTCCGCCAAGTACTTCCTCGATGCTTTGGATAGGTTACAGCGGCGCGCGATCCGCATCATAGGCGATAAGGAGGTGACTAAACACCTCGAGCCTCTTCAATTACGCCGTGACGTGGCGTCACTAAGCGCGTTCTATCGTCTGTACCACGGCGAGTGTTCTGAGGAGTTATTCTCTCTTATTCCACCTTCGCCTTTCCTTCAGAGGACCACGCGCGCTGGCCTACGTTGTCACCGTCTAACTGTGGCCACAATTTCAACGCGTATGAAGAAATTTGGTGACTCATTTCTTTGTCACACTATCCGTAAATGGAATGCTCTGCCCGCTCACGTGTTCCCTCCCTCTTACAACTTGGGATCCTTTAAAAGAGGCGTGAAGAAGCAACATGCAGGCAGGCAGGGTGAGGATGGCTGGTGTGGCAGGTAGAACTGCTGTATCAGCTATCTTCGCGTCTGGACTTCACCTTCACTCAACACCAGGTGGGGTGGAGTCATTTGTCGGACCTCTCTATAAAAAAAAATCACTAGGAAAGTACTTGGCTTGGACTTGTCCAAATTTGCTTTATCTGCGGTAAAGTTGCTTTATTTCCACCTCAACGGTAATGTATAATAATACACTTTCATGACCGGTACCTATAAAATAGTTCTGATTTACAAACAAGCAAGTTGTATCATGTATAATGAAATCAAAAATATCGTAATCGAAAAACAATCCTTCTTAAACTCAGCTCATCTAGCCCCTACTACGCGTACACACGTACACGTATTTATTGATTATTCAAAGTAGATTCATTAGATTTAAGTATTCAAAGACTCAAGAAAGAAAAAAAAATGTGTAAAGAAGTAAATTCTAGATTATTGACTTGAATTTAAATAGAGAATTTGCAATCTAAATGTAAATTGAATTTCAATAAGTTAATATTGACTTTTAGAGAAAAAAAGACAAAAAAGCTTTTAGGTATTATTTTCAGACTGAATCTTCAATTAGGTATGTTCCAAGGTGATTGAAGAAAAAACTATTTAAACAATTTGATTTTTATTCTGAAGTACGTAGGTATAAATTTAAATTTATAGATAGGTAAGTAACCAATATTATCTAGTGCTAAAACTATGGCAGTACAAGCTTATCATCTACAAATTCTAAACTACTTATTAATGAATTTTTCCTAATGTCTTCTTTTTCTTTTGAAGTGTCATCCCTTTTTTTGATTTCAACGTCTATCAATTCTTTCGGTTTCGTTCTGCTTGTTTTTCTGTGTTGAAGGTAAAACCATCTGTGAAAAGCAAAGACTATTAATAAAATAAATCTTTGAATTTAATTTTTCATGTTAAATTATATGAAAAAGTAGGAGTACAATTGTACAACTCAAAAAAAAATATTGTAAATGAACCTTCAATAGGTAATGCATCTAGTTATTTTCTGATCAAATACATGGCTATTTTATAACTACAATATAATGAAGTGATGTGTTTGAATTTAAATAAATCATCAATAAAATATTATTAGTTACAAATATCTAATAATAATAATATGCAACTATGGCTAGTTGTATTGTTTGTAAAAGAAAATTCTACAAAAGCACAAAATATACGAACCCAAAGAACATTAAAGGTGGTATAGTCAGTACGGTACTGACGAAATATATAGTTCCAGGATATATTTTCAGTGTTAGCATGTACATCCATGAGTAGATGGGATCGAAAACCAACGACGTCACGATTTCCATCAGGTTAAACATTGCCGTCATTTTACCTGAAATATTTATTATGGTAATTAACTATTCTTTTCACATAAAAAAACAGACGAATTCTGGAGACATTGCCAATAATACTACATTCTAAAGAGGCTAATGGAATTGAAGCGATAACAGAAATGCCAAGTAGCAACAAAGCTTACCCAATTCGTCACTTGTGACTAATTTTGACGATATAGATCTCAACGCTGTGAATGAAGTAGCATTGAACATCTCCACTGCAACAGCTGGAAAATTTATGGAATATCTGTTACACGTAGGTAAAACAAAAAAAACTGTAAAATTCAGAATTTTTAATTTATTTCCAAACCAAGCAGAGCTTGTACTATGGAAAATAAAATGACGTACAAGATAAAAACACTACCGGGACTCGAACCCAGGACCCTTTGTGGTAGCTGGCAGGGATACTGCCGATGTACCAACACTGGTCACCTGTCTCTCGGGCTACTTTTATCGCACTAGACGTTATCGAAGGACCTAGATTTGATTCATAGTATAAGAAGGAAAATATGGAAATTTACCTTTCTAAATTACAAAATATTGCAATCAAACAACTCTGTTTTCACCTCCTCCGTGGCTGAGTGGTTTGTACGCCGGGTTTCATGGTGTCGCCTACTCGAGAGGTTCCGAGTGTGAACCCCGATGGGGGCAAATGTATGTGTGATGAATCCGAGCATTTATACTCTAGTCTATATGCTGTTTTATATGTATTTGTATATATACTTATATTATTTACAAATATTTATTTATTTTGCAGAATTACATTCCTGCGCGATGGACCGGACAAATTACCCCACACCACTTGGTGTTAAATGTAGTTCGGTCGGGAAGATAGCTGATACATCAAAGGACTATGCCGCTTCGGACACTATTTTTGCTGAAATTGCTGTCTTCTATAAGATGGTAGTTTCCTCTCCAAACAAGAAACCTTATTCGAAATTCCGGTATGACTTACCTCTCTTATTCCTTCTAACCCTTAAAGATCCTGATACCAACCTATATACATCTCCAGGCTGTTCCTTGCGAGGCCCGTACACAGGGCTCCAATGACTTTGCTGACGTTTGAAATCAAACCCAGTACGGAGTCATCCCACTTCCACCGACGGCTGAACAGACTGATTGAGATCAGCGCACCTGAGAAAATGGAATGTTTTTTATGTTAAAAGAGTGGCAATCAAGCATAAGGTCCACTTAATGATAAGTTGCTACTATAGCCTATGATGAGCCTAAATGCTAGTGATAGCAATATTATCACTGATGCCGTTGCCTATCTTGACCTAATCTCTTACCCCGTGGAGCCCTGGAACCTTCCTCATCATCAGACACACCACACCCAAAAAGTAGTGTTATTGTATTCATTGTTCTTCTGTAAGGTGAAGGTTACTTCCTCAGACGGACGCTCCAATTCAAGCGGAAAATCTGCTCTGCGCTACCTCTATTATCTATCAATTACATGTGTCTGCTTTCATAAGAGAGGTGCTAATAATAATTATCGTCATCGTGTGTTAAAAAGTGTAGAGTTGTTATAGTGAAACGCAGAAACTGTTTTCTTAACTATTTTCCGCCTGTTCATTATTCTCAGAGTAGATGGAACATTTTAGTTGATTAGATTTCCAGAACTCTCTGATGTTCTATCAAACTCAATAGGAAAGGGTAGGTTAGTGTTAGGCAATTTAGTCTATAGTCATACAAACAGGCGAGCCAGAATGCTTTTTACTCGACTGCGCAATGCAAGAGCGCGAAGCGCGACGCGCAGACGGTTTAGTGTTTAGCAGTCTATATATGCATGTTTGTTCCTTTGTGGCACACTAGAGATCAAACGCCTGGACCGATTTTTTGTAATACTTGTACTTTATATATAAAAGACCAAAATTGTTTCTACTCACGTCCCTTAGAAACTTTAAAACTATCCGACCGACGTGACAGTTTAATTTAAAAGATTTTACGATAACTAAAAACTACCTTCAATAATCAACCTCTAGTATAAAGTAAGGATAATCTGGTTCCGTTTCTTAGTAACAGTTGTTCATAAATAGTCTTAATAATAAAAATGTTTTGGCAACAAAGCTCTAGTAGGCCTACCTCTTACTGAAGTTTGTTTATTGAAACTGGTCGTAAATGCGTTATGCAAATCGGACCATTTATCGCTTAAAAAGTTTCAACCTCGTCATAGATGTCCTAAATTGGAAAAAAATCTTATTATTTAGATAATCAATTTTTTTACGTAAGCCTCGATGATACGGGGAGACTTTACAAGCTACTAGCGAACCTAGTTCGCTACTAATTTAAACTCGCCCCGTGACATCGAGGCTTTAGTACCTAATAATATTTGGCGCCAAATAGGTAACAGCAACGTCGATTTAATAGCAAACACTTTAAAAAAATAAATGTTAATATATATCATTGATACTGTTTTTACTCACCCAGTAAATGCATCAGAATATAGAAAGTATTGTAGAAACTATATTTCATTGCATCCCAGTTGAAACGGTACCTTGTAAATAAGTACCTCACAATGAATTCGCCTGGAATAATAATGAAAGTATTTATTACTATTTGTTTTCCAAAAACGCACGCTTATGAATTTTCTGGAAGTTTGAAACAAGTTGATTTTCATAGGGAAAAATTATGTCATGTAATTTTTTCGTGTTCTCATGTACGCTGTATCGTCCGTAACCAGCTATTAAGCTGACTAACTGATACTAAATAATCTCGTTGAACAGTAATTGAACATTTTAATTAAAATGTTTTGGGCATGCAATAAACAATTATTAAATATTCCTTGTTACCCAAAATTCATAGTTCCAAATTAACCGAAACTTGTTAAACGTAAAATGTATGTTTTTAACACGTTCAAGTTTATTTTATGAAAATGTTACTGATTATTTATAAAATTATCAGTTTGAAACTAAAATCAGATTGGTGTGAATTATTAATTCAGTATGCAATCTTAATTATGTAAAATTTACGAAAGTGCATGAGTCATAGCTACTACAGTAAAAAAATATACTCTAAATGGAACAGTTATTAAATCTGTCATATAATATAAGTCATACAATCTTCTGAAACTTGGTAAAATTAATTAAAAGTTCTTCTATGTTTAAATTGCATGATATTGTGGAATATAATATTCCAAAAACATTGACATTTCAAATTTTTACGGTAATTCTTTAGTTTTTTTTCCATTATTTAAGATGACACCATCACATACCGTCAGCCGGGCCGTATATGAAGAAGATGGATGCCAATATCAATATGGACTTTGTCCTTCGGTGGTTGGGTCCCTTTTTGAATGCCACCTGCAGTGTGGCCTTCACGTGGCTCACATCGAAAAAGGATTTCAGGAAGCCCCATACGCTGGAGGATTTGTTCTGTAATTATATTGAGGCTTTATAAGAAGAGAGGTGAAAAGAGCGGGATAACAATTTCGTTAGACAATTTTTTGTTATAAGAAGACAGAAAACAGTTTTATGTTGTTTAAAAATACCTGCGCAATAAACTTCTTACGATGTAAAGTTTTTGAGCGTATTTAGGGAGCAACAGAAAAATTCCAAATTTGAAAAAGTTTAAATTTAGACGTTTTGTGCCTATAGACGTTTACAGTACCAGAGTCTCAATCATACCGTTACCTATACTTACTTCTTACTTACCTTATCACCTACTCCGTGGGGCACTGGAACCTTACTCATTGACAGAAACACACCACCACCAAAGGTATTGTTATTTATCTGTGTTATTCTGTAAGGTACAGCTTAGTTCCCTAGATTTGAGCTGAAAATCCGTTATCTCCCACCTCTTTAAGTAAATTAGATCCGTGCGAAACCGAGCAGGTTACGTGTAATAAATAAAAGTGTTTGCTTATAACTAGTTATGTAAACTGAATAAAGCAACAAGTTTGCACGCTGTAACTTAATAAAGCAGTTTACAATTCCACTATACCGACTTAATTAATGTCAAGAGTTATTAAACACGGTAACTTTGGAGCAGATTTAAACTTACCAGCATTTGCTTGTTACCTGTGCCATTTAGCTTATAATCTATGTTATATTCTAGTATGCTTATCTTATGAGTATGTTTATTGGAATTTTAATTTAAACCTTTCATGTTGTGCACAATGCATGAGTCATTAAGTTTTATCAAAAAGTCAGAACAACGCAAGTATATTTACACAATGTTCTATATAAGTTTATTTAAGTAATGCTGGCTTAGGAAAAAAATCTATTTTGCCTATATCGCCGATTCTGATTATGATCCGTAGCATTGTTAAACGCCCATACACGGACTGCTCGAGCAGTTAGCTAGTGATAAACATACACGGATCGTTGTAACAGTCAGAATCAATAGCTGGAAGTTGCCATTTCACGGTGCTGCAGTCCGTGTAGGGGTCTACGTAGAAGACTGTGGTTCACTATGCAGTTGCAGCTTGTAACAGTCCACCCTGGCTGTCTTCAATCTGTCCGTGAATAGCCAGTCTTTGGTGTATAAATTTAATAATCCCATTGTAATGCTTATTTTTTTTATATGCATAACACGGATATAAGTTCTTTTAATCTTTGTTGTTTACCAATGTTAGGACCACTCTGGTGATAACAATTCGACATTAACTACATTATGTAGCAAAAATATTAAAAACAAACAAAAATTTTAGTACAAAATAGTGTTTGCAGTAGGCAAACTGATAAAAAAGTGTTATTTAGAACCGAGCTTTCCTCTGACTGAAATGTTTTTTTGCAATATTTTTGACAGTTCAGTTTTTTGGAATGTATTGCTTTTTAGGGTTTTTTATCCAAAAGATTAATGATGGTAAATAAACCCTATAAACGTGCACAGTTAAATTAATATATTTATATTTAAAGGTATGTAGCTTTTAGATTGTCCCCAGCAATTCCCCCATTATCATTATAGAAAAAACACAACTTTCACCTATAAAAAAGGCTACAACACCATTACCTGAGCATTCTTCTCCGCAACTGGCATCTCAGGATCTTTTATATAGTAAAATCCGTACAAAATACTAAACAAATTCAAAACAGCACTCAAACTGAACACTCCATAATAGCCAATCAGATTCAAAAGAACTCCACTGAGAGCAGACCCTATAGGTGCCCCAGCGGTGAGGCACAAATTAGCTACACCAACTCGAAAAGTCCTGGACTCTTTGCTAGATATATCACCGATGTAGCTAAATGTTCCCAAATAAGTAGATATCCAACTGCCTGTGATTGCAGGGAAGAATGCCTCAAAAAATATTGCCACTTCTGCTGGCAACTCCTCGAAATAGTACACGTTAATTATGTTGCTTAGACACACCAGTAATTCTCCTATGATAGGCATGAGTATACAGATTTTCCTTTTGCGAGTACGATCGCTCCATGCGCCCAGAAAGAGAATCAGAAAACTCGGCAATGCCGTCAGCAGTATATTTTTCCAGCTCTCCATTGCTGCTATAAACTCCTGTACTACAAGTTCCTCTTTTAAGTATTGCGTGCCGTTTCTGGCAAGCAGCGCATCGCACACAACTTTGCCATATCGCATATTCACTCTGCAAGCTTTATCCAAATTCATATTTTGTGTGGCCAGTCTGGACAACACTCTAGGAACGACGTAGCATGCTAGCGTTGGTTCCAGTGTAATATTATCCTTAACATATTTGATTTTTTCAATAAACGTTTTCTTTTCCTTATTTTTGTCATTGGGTTCTCCATTTTTTTCCTTCAAGGGCTCCTCCTCGACTGACTGCATGGTAATGTGTATAATGAACGTTTATTTCTGACTCTTACGTTCAAGTGGAAGATTGCTTGGAACAATCTTGAAATTAAGGCAAATATTTGTCGATTGTCTGATGTTTATTAAATGCCAAGAGCATTATCAGTTAAATATAGCTTTGTTTACTACAGTACAAATTGTAATTTGGATAATGTAACAATGTTTCATCATTAAAAGGATTAATTGTCCTTTATTACGAAACCTTACTTAGACCGCATTCTTTATATATTTTAATAGATGTGCCCTGCGGTTTCACCAGCATTAATTTGAGGATAAAGGTTATAGCGGGTAACCCTTAAAGGAAAGACATATTATGCTGCGGCCGACTTTCATATAGAACTTGAAAAGGGGAACAATTTCGGCATACATGATTTTTGAAACTACTTTACGCACGCTTGACTTGGGGGGTAAGCTGGTAAATGCGTTACGTGTTACGAAAAGTGTGTTCGGGCGAGGCGCACGGGAGTTGAGTCTTTCTCTTATAGCTAGTAAATATATATATATATACATACATACAGAGGTAAAGAAGTTTCACTTCAATCGTGTGGTCAAAAGCACACTCGTTTTTTTTTGTAACTTTTACGCAGCGGACGCAACGGAAGCTCATAAATGGAATATTTTTATCCGTTTTTGCAATATTTTTCGTTGGTGCTCTGCTCTTATTAGTCGTAGCATTATATTACATAGCTTATTACATCGTAACGCTACTACTAATTAGAAAGACTTTCCTTGATAAATGCACTAACCAACACAAAGTTATTCTTTCAAATCAGACCAGTAGTTCCTGAGATTAGTGCATTCAACCAAAGAAACAAACTCTTCAACTTTATTATATAGATGCCAGTATTAATGTAAAACATGTGGGATAAATGTAAAGTGCCAAACAAGCAAATGGCCTGGCTGATGATGATAGACGGCTGCATCTATAAGTTAAGACGAATCCGTGTCATCTCTATGGCAAGAGCACAACACTGAAATAGTGTATCAAAACTTTACATTGAAACTTAATAACCGTGATCATCTTTCATAAGTAATAAAGAGAAGTGTTTTGATTTTATTATGACACCAAAAAAAAATCCTGGTAGTTAAAAAATAAGACACATTAACATAGGCGTATTTAAGTAGCAAAATAAATTCATTTTATAGTACCTTCAATTTATATTATTAGTAACCATAATAATATGCCATAAATCGTACTATACAACCAGATATACGACAAAGCCTGCCGACAATCCTACGCTTGCACTTACTGAGACACCTCTAAACGGTTTACGGGGGTTGAAGGACTTGCAGTTGCAAATAGTCGACTCGTCTTACTTCGTTGTGATAATGCGCTCCCTGTCATTTGATTGATTTTTACCTAACACGCTTTGGACATTGGAACACGATTATCGGTTTTGTCACTTAGTATGGATGAACTAAAATCATGTTTTCTCCGAAGCGTGGACAAGTTTGTGTGATTTGAGGTAGCTTCGTTTTACATAGAAGACAATTTACTATAAGGAACAGACGGTTTGAAAAAACCCCAACCTATGCGGGGATTTTTCGATTCAGGCTTTTCACATTGTGAAGAGCCTGAGCCCTCTATGTAGGGTCGAACTAACAAACTTAATTAATTCCCTTGTTTCAATATGGGTTATAGTAGTTGTACCTATTTAACTTTATATAACTAAAGACTCCCGGAATGGAATTTGATGCGTTTTGGTACAGATGATCATGACTTTTTATAGTCATGATCATCTGTCTTTCAAACAAATGTAGTTTAAATCGTGGCGGACGTGGGTGCAGCGTCCATACATTTTTGCCCATTGTCCTTTGGCACACATAAAGTTCATTATTTGGACCTCATGATAATCCGTACTGAGGGATCATCAAAAAACTAAAGTTAACGCGAACGAAGTCCCGTGCGCCCGCTAGTTTAAAATAAATAACGCACCAAACTGGTCTTAGATTGGTAGCACGAATTTATTGTTCGCTAGAGTATCTTTTATTTTAAGAAGCAGAAACTAGTGCGTTGTTTAGACGTCGTGTCACTTCCACTATCAAGAGTATTCCAGGGAACGTCGCTTTAATATTGGATATTCCATTTATATATTTAGAAGTCAATTTCATTTCTATGAAAGATCAGCTCTTGAAAATGGTCTGCCCGATTTAGCCCATTTTTTGTGTTCATGTTTGAAAGGGACACGTTGTCCTTGTGCTAAAGAAAAGTTTTACACAATCCATCGAATGAGTCGAAAATTTGGATGGTCTTTTTATATTATATGAAAATACACCTCATTTTATTTATTAGTATATTGAGCTTGTGATAAGCCGGGGAGAGTGATAGTTTAATGTTAAATTGACTCAGTGATTACAACTAACGTTACCTTTGTACTATGGTTTTAAAGAATATATCCATACATCTATACATATAAATAAAATTGGAGTGTTTGTTTGTAATATTGAAATAACCGCTTTTTACAACATGCATATGAATATATATACGGTACATACACCAAAATAACATTTTTAAAATTTTTGTCTGTCTGTCTGTCTGTTTGTTCCGGCTAATCTCTGAAATGGCTGGACCGATTTTGACGGGACTTTTATTGGCAGGTAGCAGATGTAATAAGAAATAACTTAAGCTACTTTTATTTTAGAAAAAAACAAAAAACTTAACGCTGACGAAGTCGCGGGCGACCGCTAGTCTATACCAATATTATAAAGAGGAAAGATTTGATTGTTTGTTTGTCTTGAATAGACTCCGGAACGACTAGACCGATTTGAAAAATTCTTTCACATTTAGAATCCATTATCATTATCAACATTATCCCTGATGATCATAGACTATAGATAGTATTTTCAAAAAGTTAGGGTTCCCTATGAAAACTTCGATAACGTATCCCAGGGCATGAAAAAACTACCAAAAAATAACCTTGTATCGCTTACGCTACGGAATTCATTGACAGTAGAGCAAAGTAATGTGCTAAAGTTTTATAGAGGATATCAATATCTACAAAAAAGTCCGCAATACCATACGTGTAACTATTAGAGTTATGTCAGAACTAAAGGTCCCCTGCGGTTTCACCCGCGTTAATTTGAGGAGAAAGAGCTATAGTGAGCCAAACTTAAAAATTTTAAAGCGGAATAATTCCGCGATACATGAATTTTGTATAACTTTAATCATTTACGCAACGGAAATGGAATATTTTTACTCGATTTTGGAACATTTTACATCGCTTGCTGCACGCACTGCTTCTGGTCACAGCGTGATGTTATTTATTTATTTATTTACTTAATAATCACTTACATCTATCATTACAGGTATAACCTAATACAATAGAGCAGTTACGGTACAACCAATTATTATACAAAATTAAAAATAAAAAAAAACACAAACACGAAAATAAAATAAACATTTTTATGATAGTATACAGTAAGCGGCCCGTGTGAATTCATTCAATGTGCATTGAAACAAGTCAATGTGCAGAGACAGCGTGTTGAGTGCGCGCAGAGCGCGCGTGAGAGGAGCGCAGTGCTGCAGGTTAGTGCGCGCGTTATATAGCCTTAAGCCTTTCTCATTATATCCACTATCTTACACAAAAAGTTTTTTTTTTCAAATCAGACCATTAGTTCCTGAGACTTGCGCTTCAACCAAAAAAATAGTGCATTCGGTACAACGGGTCCAAAACTACGCAACAAAATTTCCTCCATCAGTTAAATCAATTTTTATTTAAGATTTATAATTACATAAATTAATTTATTGTGTATAATACAATCCTGAGAACAAAACCTATAGTCTACCTGCACTACAGCTCTATACCGAAGCGAAGCGAGGGCGGGCCACTAACGATATATAAAATATGTAAATACCTAGTTGACAGAAACAGAGAGAATACACATAATACGAAAAAAGTTATGTACCTACTGTATGGTGACAAAAATAAAATCTTATTTTTGTAATAAAGAATGTATCGTATTTTTTTCATTAGAAAACAGTTCACCAAAATGGAAATAGCATAAATTGCATACAGTTAGTAGTAATGCTATACCCACGTCAAAATTCAAGACACAATCCTTGTTTGTGCACAAGTAAAGTTTTCAATGAATATTAATGGGCTCGCTAAAAGGCTAGTTGCTGTTTGTAGCCCTATCTATACGTATGTTAGACAAATAAGTTTATCATTAAGTATTTGTTGAAACACCTTCTATTTACGTATTTATAATAAGAACGAAACTGATAGGCAAAGCCTAGGTCTTGGAATATTCCCAGATTGTGTTACAATTGCAAGCGATTTAGTGTCACAATTTCTGTTCATGTGAATTTTCTTTTCATTTGGAAATATTTTTGGAAGAGGTACTTATCTATAGTATAGAGGATTTCAGCCCAAACCTGAACACCTCTCTGTGGAAGAAACCTGCATCCTGCAGAAGAATACGTTGAGATGACATCAGATTTTGGATTAGAGTAGGTAAGGTTCAAGAGCTTCAGTATAGGCTCGATGACACGAGGCGAGTTGCAGATGGTAAAAAGCCGATGACACAGGGCGAGTTTAAAAGCTGCTACTGCACACTAGCTGGCTTGTAGCTTGTAAACTCGCTCTGTGTCATCGAGGCTTAAGGGTGAGGGTTCAGGCCGGTATAATAAGGTTGGCAGCAGCAGACAACTCAGCTGTATCGGATATGGTAATTTGCTACAGCTCTTATAAAAACTTACTAGACGCTTAAGTCCAAAGCTGGTATGAATTTGGCTGCTAATTTTGTTGTATTCTTAATTGTCAGGTTTGTTTGACAGTACATATAAAACAATGCTTCGAACTAGAATAAGCTTGTTAGCTTGTTAAAGCCGATGACACGGGGCGAGTTACAAGCTGCTGCTGCATACTAGCTGGCTTATAGCTTGTAAACTCGCTGTGTCATCGAAGCTTAAGGGTGAGGGTTCAGGCCGGTATGATAAGTTTGGCAGCAGTAGCTAACTCAGCTGTATCGGATATGGTTATTTGCTACGGCTCTAATAAAAACTTACTAGACGCTTAAGTCCAAAGCTGGAATGAATATGGCTGCTAAATTTTGTTGT